ATGGTGCCAACTTGGGCCAGTGAAGCAGCGTCCTCCACAACTAGATTGAAGAACAAAACGACAGCAACTTGTCTGTTCCCCTTCCCCTAATTCCCCAGTACTGTTCCCATCCCCCCAATTACCCAATAAAAAAAATCTAAAAAAAAAAAAAATGAGGACATCATACTTAAGAAGAAAAATGAAAGAAAAACAATGGCAAAAATCTTACTGAAAGACAACCTAGAACTGCTTATGTTCTAAGAGCTTGGCTTCAAAACTGTCAGGTTGGAAGCTCAAAAATCTGGCCAGACAGGAACATGGGCTAAAGGCCACCTCGGCTCAGGTCCTGCAGGGCCGCTGCTGGCCTCGGGGACTGTAACCTAAAGTTACAATGGCAACCGTGAGGAATGTTCCACGGGATAAAAATCATTTAAAAAGTGCATTTAAAAGTAAGGGTTCCCAAATCAAGCAAGCAGAATGAGCTAGCTATTTTCATCGGCAGGCAGAAGCTTACAAAAGGTTTTGTGGATGAAAAAGGGGTCACGTACTAAACCGACGAGCTCAGGGGAGGACAGCCTGGTGGGCCCCACAAACTCAGAGATGAAAGGAACCACACAGGATGTTCCGAACATAAAAATTCCTAACTAAAGGCGGGTCATGGCCGGTAGTCTCGTCCTAGGCCTGTAGCTTCCTTGACAAAGGTCACTCTTCACCTGAAGTGAGCCTGTCTGTTGTCTTTTTGCATCTAAGATAACATACCCTTGGAATGTCACAGTAATTTCCTTCCCCAGACCCCTCAGGGCACAGCCTCCCACCAGAGCCCAGGCCACAGAACCCCTCACTGTTATCTTGTTGCTCCCACACCATCTCCGTGTGCTCAAGTGTTAATTATTATCTATCCTGTACCCACCCACGTAAAGGAAGTGTGTGTCTCTCCATTTTACTTTTTATCCAACCCCAGAGATCCCCCTGCTTTGCTTTTTCCCGCCCCCTTCACCTACCACCCATGGATTCCATGTAACGCCCTTATGTCTCCTCCTTGGACTCTAACATATAAAATAAGCTGCAAAACTGCCATAGTCGGGAGCATTTTCTCAATCCGTTGAGCTTCTGCTTCCTGACAATTGTCGTCAGTTTGGCTCAAATAAATATAAAATTCCCTACAGGTTGGGCCGTTTCTTGCATTGACATTTACTTGGCACAGTCGGCAGGATTCCAAAGAAGCCGACCAGGACCACCCTGCAGCCGCAAACCCGGTGCTGGTACCAGCAGGGGCCCTTGCGCACCACCGGCTCCCCGCTTCGCACCGGGGGAACATGGGCGAGTTTTTCCTGGAATTCCGGACCTCCTTGCTTTATAGCAGGAGGCCCTGACTTTATTGGAGCTGTTCTATAAAATAAAAAAATAA